GAAGTTGAGTAGTATTAAAAACACAGGAGTGGTGAAAATGCCCAAAACCACGTAAGTCTAAGTGGAGTGCACATGTTAGCATGAAGAGAAGAAAATTCAGATATATTCTGACATACAGCCACCAGTAGTTCTGGGATAGGATATCTGCGCTTTACAACAAAGTATGGTGGCATTTTGCCATTTTTATATTAGCTAGCTACATTATATGAATTAATGGATATCTTTGGAGGCGAGGAATAGTGAACAATTACTTTTATAGAAAAAGATCTATCTCTAGGACAGGGGTCTTTGTTGGAATTAATATCTGTTTGGGGTGTCTTGTTTCTTTAATAGGTCAATTTTCCTAATCTTGTACTCTCAAACTAGGAACCATGTCACAACTGTTTAATAAATTTGCCAATGTGTCAAAGACATTATTCAGAGATGAGTGAAAATGGAAGTGGTTTCAACAATGTTACAACAGCAGCGAATTTGTCTCAAGGCAATAGTAGGAAAGTATTTCCAGAAGTAGAACCTTATCTGTGATGATTTTGCTCTGGTTTAATCTACCAGAAGAATAGTTTGCTGTGCTGTTTGGCTCTGAAGGCAGAATCATTCTTAGGACAGTTATTTGATCCTCTGATGTGAAAATTTTCCTGAATTAAGTAATGAAGGCAGGTATTAAGGTGCTGAGGCTTTTATCATGCAAAGGAAAAGACATTAAATCTTCATTGTTGAAATAATAAGCAGATGCTATCCTCTTACAGTCAAAGACTTAGTAGATGGTGCTAGATGAATCACCTTCTTAATATGAAAATGATGGATGTCTTATCTTAGAAAAATAACTTTTAAATGTATAGTATTAGAAAAATGCTCTTCAAAGCACCCACAAGATAACCCCTTTCCTATTATGTCTATTTTATGTCTTCCTTCCTTTAAGAGTAAAATTGGACAAATAAATACATTTTCTTTTTTCCTTGTTGAGCTGTTAGCTATGTTTAATCATATTATGTAAATCCTCTTTAAAAGCTTCAAATCAGTTTTGGATCTTGCAGTGTGTAATGTTGTTCAACTACAAAAAATAAATTTTAAAAATCAATTTGTTTGTAGATTAAAGTAGTTCTGCACGGACCCTAATGAAAATTAACAAGGCTATTTAATTTTAATATAATCCTCACACACATCCGCCTCTCTTCCCAGCATCCCCATCAGTTCTCACTTCTTCCATTCAGGGAGGCTTCTTGTATTGCAAGCTGAATTGCCCAGCTCTCCTACTAGTGGTGCTAGATAATGGTAGTGCTGATAACATTTTGCTGACATTCCAACACTGGTTTCCATTACACATTTCAGTCTGCTTTCAGAAGAGGCTCCTAACACGGACAAACAAAATTCTAAGTGCAAATGCTCTGCAGAATGTAACACACACCAGTGCAGAAGTCAGGGATCTCAGTTGTGTTGGGCTGGTGCAACAATACCTGTGGGAGGACTTCACATTCACACCACTGTAGAGCGAGGTTTCTTCTATAGCTGGTGGTAGAAAACATGACTCTTCTTCATGTCTGTAGTAAAGAAGTAGGAGAATAACTGAGATAAGAGAAATTAAACAATAAGTAACGGGGTTTTTTTCTGTGCATGTCCTACAGTGATTTATTAACTAACTATATGTGTAGTTTTAGAAAAACTTCTTGCAATATAAAGAATGTACTTTATATATACTTGACTTTCAAATTCCATGGCTTAATTCTGTATTAAAGCAAATTCCCTGCTTTTTCAGTACATTTTCACATAGCTAACACAGTGTTTGAAGTACTTAAACCACAGAAAATGGGCTAACAGTTACACTCCTTAATAGGTTCTAAGACCAATGTAAACAGTGACTTGGATCAATTCTGTAGCTCAGCCACACCCTCCTTCTTCCAGCTCATGTGCCACCTGTGTGTGGTGAACCTCTGGAAGGACTTTTTGGTGTCCTTGACCATGATGCCTGCTGGATTGTAGCCAGTTGCTTTACCCACATGGGTGAGCAGCTTTTTTGGAAGCAGCAGTTCTGCCTTTTGCTGCCTCCTGGGGACAGGGCAGGGAGAAGGAGGGAGGCCTGTATCCCCAACAGGCAGCTCCTGGCAGGGGGGCTGGCATTGGCATTACAGGTTCTGGTAGGGAGGTCTCCAAACTGGGCAGCAGGCTTGCACAGCTGCCACAGATGAAATACAGTGACTAGATTTCAGATCTACAAAATGTGAGTCTTCTGGTACTTGCTATCCAAAGGCTAAATTCGATGCAATTCTTGGGGGAGAAAGAAGGGGAAAGCAATTTAAAAACATTACCAAACCCACTCAGAATATATTTTACTTTAAATATGCTTCTGATTAAGAATTGAATGGTAATATTGGGCTAGAATTGCTACAACTGCTCAGAATAAGGAATGCTGTACTATCCCACTGTTACTCATTATGTATAAAAAGCCTGTTTTATTGTTTTGAAGTATTTAATACTGACTTATTCTTCTCATGCCTTACTGAAGGGTGTGCACAGCAGAAATGTTAGAACTGCTGAGCATTGGAATTTCCAGAATGCTTATAACCTGCTTGATTGTGTCTGTTAAATTTTTCAAACTGAGCTTTCCCTGATAGCTCCAAAGCCTTTATTTCTTGTAAGAACCATCTTGCATGTCTAGGCATGTGTACTGGTGTGAATACTACTACCTGGAATACTAGACCAGTTCCAGGAAAGAAATCTGCTTGGGGCAGCCATCCAGATTTCCTTACATCCACTGTTCTGGGATGTAATCTTTGGCTGCTAATGAAATTATCATCATGAACTGATTCCACTAGAGGACTGAGGTGCTGAGATGCTCTCTTACAATTTAAGTGAGGTCCAAAAAGAAAAAGGAATATTGGTCTAGTCTGGATATGTGCACAGAGTAGAGCAAAAAAGTCTCACTGATCTGATTTATCTACTTGTACTTACTCCCAACCAGTGGCAGACACTGCACTAGAGGAGTAAAAGCTACATCAAATGATAGTTTGTTTTTTGAAACACCAGCTTAATTTGATATGTGTTGCAAAGTGAAGTACTCACTGTAAGTGATATACAGCTATTAATGTGTTCATGTTGCACAAGAACAGACAGGTGCAGGTGAAAATAGCATTTCAGACGTTTCTGCAGTTTGTTTCATAAATGTGTGGGGAAAAAGAAGATTTTCAGTTTGCTCAAACAAATCATTTCTGAAAGAGAAAGAAGTGCTAACAACTGTTCTACATCTGATATTAATAATACTGCTTAAAATCATTACAGTGAAAGTAAATTAAATATTAAGTTCAAAGAAATAAAAATGTTTCAGGACAAGATTTGTATTTGTATTGCAGCACACTGGAAAGATTCAAATCCTGCTGTACACATTTTGTACACAGTCTAATGCTTTTTATAATCAGGAATGTTTTTACATAATATAGACTGAGTATTTTCTAACACTTCACATTACCACAAAAATCTATTTGATAATCTTTAACAGTTCAGTACAGAAATTTTAAGTTTTTATATGTATTATGAATATTCTGTTCAAATGACTGATTGTTCCACCACATCAGGCAAAACTGTGAGAAATAAAAATGATTCAATGTCTGATAGTTAAAAGATATGATTTTCCTCTTGCCTCTGCTTTCAAATATAGATACAAACAACTGAATTTATGAATTCAGAAATAAGATTTTTAATAAGTATGCATAAACACTATGCGTAAACATTTTTAAGTTATCAAAAAAATCTGATTAAATTACCATATTATATACAATAATCATACCTGATCATTCACAAAATGTAATGTAGATTAGATTACTAATTATGTTTATATTTCCCAATTTTCCTGTCCTTTTCATCCTGCATGACACACTCTTGGTGATTGCTGTATGCAAATTCTTAGCACATCTGCACTGAAGGTGATTCAGAGTTGTTTCACTGACCTCAGTAATAATTCCATCAGGCCTTCACCTTCTCTGATCTTCTCTTTATCACATTGAAGGATTGAGCAGTCACCATAATAGCAATCTTCTGGAACTGATGTGAGGCTTCTGGTGTATCTGTGCTGCCATATATCTGGTGTATCTGTGCTGCTAATCCTGCCATATACATTCTCAGAAGCTGATTTTTTATTATTTTCACAAGCACTGCATGACTTTTAGGTGCAATTTTGAAAAGGAAATCTGTTTATTTAAGCATGAAAAAAATTATAATAATCTTAGAATCACTTAGGTTGAAAAGATCGTCAAGCCCAAACATAATATACAGAATTTCTTTTTATTTAAATGTTTGATGCGACCATTTCAAAAATTCTTTTCATTTGAGGAGATTTTAAGTTATGGAGGTTAGTGTTTTATCCAGGAAATCCTTGCAAAATGCCAGATTGGAATAGATGTTAGAAAGACTCCTTTTTTGGCCAGTACCATGCATACAACTAAAGATGTGTGAAAAAGATGGCATCCTCTTGAGCAATGCAGTCTAAGAAACACCACTAAACCCATTTAAATTGCTGCATGTAGATTAGAATTAACCTTGTACAGGGGAGAAGTCTTCAGAGAAGACCTTTTCACAAATAACAACATCACTGGGTTTGCATTCACTGCTGTGGTTTTAGCAATTGATGCACATTCAATTTATGGTAACATGTGAGATGTTTGGTGAGGACTTACCAAGTTCTGTGAATTGTGGTATTCAGATTATCTTTGTGCGTATACTTGGCCTTACCATCACAGTTCCGTTCTCTTACGGGTGTGATGTGGCCATATCCAAAGTCTCTGATGCAGTATGGAAGTATTAACAGAATCTGTAATGTGTGAAATGCTTGAACATGCAATCAAAACAAAAACAATGTAAATATCACTTGCTCCAAATTAACATCAGTATCCAATTAAATTACCTGCAATGATGCAAATGGTGCTATTAGTCTTGCGTGTTTTCCCTGTACTTCTCCCTCACCCTTTATTGCTGTATCTTCTCAATTGTCCCTTCGTTTTCTTTCAACAAAGGCAAGTATGCCATGAGGGATCTGGTCCACCGACTGCCAGGCGCTAACAACAGCAACAGCTCAGCGAGCAAGGCCATGTCTGATGACACCGTGACTGCCATTTGCTGCACTCTGCACGAAGTCATCACTAAAAACATGGAGAATGCCAAGGCCTTACGGGACGCAGGCGGCATTGAGAAACTGGTTGGCATATCTAAGAGTAAAGGAGACAAGTATGTTTTGCAAATCACCTTGCACCTTTTTAACCTCTCCAGCAGTTATTACTAGTCCTGAATGTGTTTGCCTTCTCTGTGCAATGGCAAGTTGAATCCTTTAGTTTCAACAGATATCACGTGGCCCAGTGCGAAGGGTGACAAGAAACAGACAATGGCAATACCAAAAATCTCCCTCTGCTTTGGTTCATTTTTGACGTGCCATCCGCAGTGCAGGGAGTGCAGTCCATGTGCATTTTAAGGAAAAGTAATTATCTACAGTAACCCCTACCTCTGAGCAATTCCAGAAGATCCCAGTAAACATTAGGGATCAGAGTGGTTGGATTGCACCCTGCACAAGGTGTGACATGCAGGTGGAGGGGTCCTTTGAAAGGAAGGACCTCACCACAGTTCTGGTACTGCTTCTCTTGATCTAAGAGTGAAGAATGTAAAGTCACTGTCCCTCTTCACAGCACCCTTTTCCCTGCCACCAGCTTGGTAGTAGATCCATGGATTTTCTGACTGGTTGCTTCTGAGAGAGCCTTTAGGCTGCTTTGTGAGGCAAAAAAATGTCTTGCACACAACTGTGACATTTTCAGAACAGCTACAGTTTCATCTTGTCTGTTTGGCTATGTACACACTCTTCATGAAGAGTTCACTCTTTATCCTTCTTTTGCCTAAAACAGATAGCCTGGTTCTCATATTTGTCAAGCTGATGAAGTATAGTGCAATGGGACTATGGCAGTTTGAAAACAAAAAGCCTTCACTGTAGTGTACAAAACCCATCAGTCCACCTACTCGGAGCTGTCATCACACAGCCTACTGCAGCATCAGAGCTCTTAAAGAGCCCCACAAAGCCAGGCCACAACCTGAAGGAAAGATTTATGCACCCTACATTTGGTATGAGAACTTATGCTCGCCTCTGTGATCGGAGCATTGCCAATATAATTTAATCGCATTTCTTTTCCTCTATTGTCACCCTTTTCCTTTCATACCAAATTCATTATTGAAACATTCTTGCATTCAAATTGTAAGGGGTAAAAAGTAGTGTGAGCAAGTATGTGATTCCAGCTGTGGGAGCTCCCCATGCTCTGCCAATTTATTTATATTTGCAGTTTGTTATTACTGAATCTACCTAAATTTTTTATTTCTATTTTCTAGATCAAATGTACTGACATTGCAAGCAGGTTCATATCCATTTCTCTTAAGTTGAATGTGTATTTCCTCAGAATAATGCATCTGTCTACCTGTTAATTATCTGGTAAAGAGTACTAATACCTGTTGAATCTGGAATTTTTGAAGTATCATGGGCAGTTTTAGGAGAATCCAAGGGCATAATTCCTTGTCTGAATATACCTCATAACTGTGAAAGACATCTATTTCTAATTAATCTAGAGCAGAGTAATTCCAAAATGCCCTTCCGAGTCATGATATGTATCCCTCCTCTCAAGTACTTTGACCTGCAGTCCTGTATTATTATTTTTACAGGTTACACAGTTCTAGAACAAGAAAACCTGTCAACACACAGTGCTGCAAACACCCATCTTAAGTAAAAGTTCAATTTTTCAGCTTTCAGAAGTGTCAGTACTGTGTGCTGTTGGTTTGGTTTGGTTTCTTACAGGTAATTAATTGTTTGAAAACTGAAATTGCTGGTTGTTGGACTGATAGAAAATTCTGACATGCTCACTTTAATACAGTAAATCATTTCTGTATGAAGTCATTTTGTCCAGTATGAACTGTTTCTGAATGTGCAGGATACTGAACTGGCCATGCATCCTAGTATGTACCAGTGCCAGTAGTCTGGCTCTGATAGCCCTTGGAATATGCCCAGGGCTTGAACAGCCTCTCTGTATGACCACATGAGAGAACTGGTGTTCATAAGGTTATTTATATTGTCCAAGCCCATATCAGCTTCACATAGCTCCTGCCTCTCCTCAATACTCATGGAGTGGTTGGCACAGTTATTTTCCTGGTTACTCCATGCTTATCAGCACCCCACTAGCCAGTACAGCTGGAAGTATAATAAAAACAATTATGCTTGAAAGGGCTTATCAAAACCCTGTTTACTCACCAATTACCCACCTACTGCTCTACTCTGGGTGAGAAATGGAATAGAAGTGGGGGAAAAAGCACCAAATAAATTACTAGGGAAATGTTGTATTAATAAATCAGTTGTGTCATAGCAGCACTTTACCAATTTGAATGTCAGCCTATCAGTGATTCATCTCAGAACTTATAGAATGAACCAAAGCCTGGCCCCTGCCCAAAGCAGCAGCTTAGGATTGCTGCTGGTTTTCTGGTTTCTCTTTGATGTTTCAAACCATATGCCTCTTCTGAGTAGAACATAAATCACCTCAATGACTGCCCCAGACTGCATCAATCCTCACTCTGGACTTTGGCCTTTGCAAGGTTTTCTAGCGTTCTGCTGCTTTATATGTATTTTTGATCCTGCACAATGTATGCTTCCTTAATGGGCTGGGTTATCTTCCAGGTCCTTTTCTATTTGACCCCTTTTTGTTTTGGGGGTGTTTTTTAAATTTTTTAATTACCTATTCCAGCAGGATTATATGACACCAGCTGATTGTAACAATAGTTTAGATCTTCTTTCAAAACTTCTGTGAAGAGAAATACCATGTGAAGTTACATGGTTTTCAACACCACATTGTATTCCTGTCATTAAAGGATAATGGTGTGAGCAAAATCCTAGTCCACATTTGGATTCCTAATGAAATCATAGCTTCTTGTAATCAGTTTTATTTCTGCATCTTGGCTCTGCATTTCAAAACCAGTGCTCATCATCCATCTAGAGTTTCTTTTATCCACTGCTGAGAGGAGCTAAATGAGTTGAGCAGACTTTCCTGAGCTAGAGTTCAGCAGCTTGCAAAGAATGAAATTCTGCTCTGTCTCCTTGTCCCTTATGCCAAAAGTTGCAGCTTATCTTAGATGTACATAATGCCAGTTGGTCCTGAATAATTTTGCCAATTGCTACCTCCTATTCCTCTTACTATGCTCTCAGCAGAAATCCCTGTGTGTGCTGAGATGCACAAGTTTTTTTCCCCTCACTGATTGATTAATACTATAGAGATAAGATATCTTGCCCTTGCTTAAAAACACCTTGGTCTCCCAGATGCCAAGCAAAGATCTTACAGTATACTTGAAACACACTTCATTTGTGAGAAATGGAAAAGTTTGAATCTGTAGCAATGCATCTGAAAATTGGAATGAATGGTGTCCTTTATTTAACAGTCTCTTTCTCACTCTTTTTTTTTTCTCTCTCTCCCTTTTTAATGTACATGTGTAACAGGCATTCGCCTAAAGTGGTGAAAGCAGCATCTCAGGTCCTCAATAGTATGTGGCAGTACAGAGACCTGAGAAGTCTCTACAAGAAGGTAAGGCTTGGGTTTTTTCTAGATTTATCATCTTTCATACTGTTACCCAAATTTGGGGGCTGAGAGACTTTAGACCAAAATATTTGTTTATGTAACTGGAAATTCACTTGGAGTTTAAAGTTTCAGATACTTGGAGTTCTTATTTATTCCTTCATTTCTACTTTAAACATAAAAATGCCCTCTGAAAATATGTGTGGTGGTGAAAAGTAGATGTGAATTTGATTTTGAAATAAATTCATACAAAAGGTGCTGGATCTGACAGCCCAGGAGAGTGAAATCCTCTGTTCATTGAACAAACGTATGTAACAACTCCTACTGGAACAGTCTTTCTTACACCTCCTCGTGTTTCTGAGGAGATTACCAGATTTCCAGCCCTTCAGCTCCCAAATTTCCTCATGAGATTGTAAACAAGAGTATCTGAAGGAGAGGTGCTTAGGGACCAGCTCCATATGGAGCTGGGCAGAAACCTGTAGCTTTGTTTCTAATCAGCCAGCAGACAGTGGCATCATATACTTGGTTTTCAGTCTGTTGAGTCCATAGTACCGTGCCATTCCCACAGGCCTGCTAATCTCTTGGAAATGAATTGCAGTAGAGTAATACAAAAATGTGAAACAACATTCTATATAGCTTTTTTAACATAAGTGTCTACTTATTAAATGGAAACATGTACAGTAATTCTTGCTGAATATTTCCAAACTGAATTACGTTCCATGTGAGTATCAGCCTGCAGATTTAGTTCTTTTGTGTCTTCTTGCTTGGAATGCCACATCGTATGTGAGTGATACTTGTATTTGGAATCTCATCAGAGAGAGCTAAGACTTCATGTGGCATCTTCAGTTCAGGCCCTAGTTAAGGCTGAGGCATAAGGATTGTGAAGTAGGGAAGGTTCACAGTGGTGTGATCTGTGTTGTATGTATTCTGCACAAGAAAGTACCTTAGTTACATGAAATGTATGCAGCAAATCTCAAGCTGGCAGAAGCTGACCTTCTGTGTGAAATGCTGTTCTTTTGCATGCCTCAGCCCTGCTTGTGTCAAGTCTGAGGAGTGAGGAAGATGATTGTTGAGTCTCTCCATTGTTCACTTCCAGTATTTTCAGTCATCCCTGGCAGCCCTAGGGATACCATATGTGAAGACGTTCCAAGTCACAAGCTGGTCCTCAACTGTCCCATTATGAGGTGGAAACAAACATGAACAGGCTTTTCTTGATCCAAGTCAGTAATACACTGGAAGTGTGCATAGCCTGACTTCTGTGCTTGTGGGTGGCTGCAGTGTAGAGGCTGAGCTGTTCTGCACCATAATCTCTTAGAGGTTCTTACAGTATCTGCCTTGTGTCCAACCTTCTGTCTGTATATATATGCCATGATGGTAAAGCAGTTTCTGAGGTGTCTCCATGCAGGAGGTAATAATGTTTGTGCTGTGTGGCTGCTGAGTTTACTGCTACCTAAGGGACGCTGTTGGCTGCTGGTGTGACTGCTGGTGATGGACTTACATACTAAGCATGCTCAGGTGCTAAGTACTTTGCATGCTTACAACAGCATTTTCCATGGCCACAAATACCTACTTGTGATATGGAAATTGGGGCAGGCTAGCTTTAGAGGTAGCTTCTCAACACTCATAGCAGACAGATCATCTATATAATCAGGAAGAGAATTGTATTAATATCTATATTACTTAACTCCTACACAAAATCTTAAAAAGAAGATCAGTCTCTGCGACAAATTTGTATATTAATTACATAACATTATATGTGCTGTTAAGCCTTGTATAAATATGGTTTCTTTTAATAAAAATGTTCAGATAGTTAATTTTAAATACTCCTTTTTGTTGAAATGCATACAACAATCCTTATAAAATTATAATATTTATTAAACTTACATGTAATAGGCTGACTGACTTAGGCTGTCTGTCTGAGTTTAACCACTGCTTGGAAAGCAGTGCCAATGGTTTTATGATAGGAAGATTAGAGAAATTTGCATTATACTAATAGTCAGCTACTTATGTAATATAAAGATACTGGATTAATGCAATCTTTGTTTTGTCCCATTAAAATATATATGTACCAGTAAAAATGAATGAACACAGAGTGTAATGCAGTCAGCACTTGCAGTATCTTGCACTTGCATAGCCTTTTTTTGAAGTGCAGGTAAATCCCATTGCATAACCATCAGCAATTTGCTCCCATATGCCAAAGTATCTATACAATTGCTTTCAAAGAATTGGCCAACAGAGACACAACTTTGTATTGTAATACAAGGAAATTGCAAGCATCCCATTATAGTTAAGTGAAAGCAGCAACACTTATCTTCTGTTTGAGAAACAATATAACCAAATAGTTTGAATTGTGGTATATTTTAGAGCTACACGTTCACAATACAGTTAGAAGTTGTAAAATGAATAGAAGTATTATTCTTTGTGTTAATGGGCAAAGAAGGCAATACATGTTTACTGCTGATACGGTAGAAGTCAGTATGTTTAGCCCAAATATGACTGGATCAGCAAAAACACCAAAACTCTTTAATTTTTCTAATTTTGCTCAACATTGTAAGGAACATCCTACAGCCAGCAGAAGATAAACTGCACTGACAGAAATCCAGAGTTGGGGATTGGTGTGGATGCTCTTTAAGTCCACAATATCTTATGCACTGTGTTTGCAGAGCTGTGCCACAACCTGTATCCTGCACTGGCAGGTTTTATCCAGTGTCCAGGGATTTCCAGGTCATGGAAGTTGTGTTGTGCCTTTACTGGGACACACAGACTCTTTAGGCTGGGCTGGCATGGAAAAGACAGAAAGTAAATAGCATTCAGATCTGTGAGTGAGGCAAGAGTGTTAGTTCTCTGTAGGCTTGTGCTTTGACAGGAAAAAAAATCAGTTTTGCCCCCTGGTGTGGTTAAGTTGACACTATCCTAACACCATCCAACAAGGAAAAGTTATAAAATGCATAAATATTTCTGGTCCTAAAACTGTAGGAAAAAAAAAAAGAAGGCTTAACAGACAAAGAGGAAGCAGATAATTTAGTCTTGAAATGAAGGAGTTGCCAGCCACCCCAAAAGTTGTGAGTCCTTCATCATGCAAGAACTCATCAGAAATACTGCTTAATTTACAAGCAATAGCTGGTACAGGAATCTAGTCTGAAAAAGTCCACCAAGAGGAAAGCAATGTTCAGATTTAGTCACATATAGACAGTGATTAGATTATTTAGTGTAATTAATTTCTAGAAAGGAGGTGATGACATTTTTCATTAGTAGAGAAAATATGGTCTCCCAAAGATAATATCATCATTTTCAAACTTCTTTGTTTTCTACAAGCAAGACATATATTCATAAATGATCATTTATCTGTCTTTGTTTTCATGAGTCTGATCCAAATTACTTAAAATCTGATTTTCAAACATTCTTAATGGTCCCATGGCCCAAAGCCCCATGGGTGGGGTCAGTGGCTCAACACATTGGAAAAACAAGGTACAGAAAGTAAATAGCATTCAGATAGTTGAGCTATCGCACAACTTGTTCCTATGCTTCAGACTCCTGGTACACCCCTCCTCTTCAAGTGTCTTGGTAACCTGTATTATAGAGTTAGCAGGAGATATAAGTGCTGCTTACAGCATCCAGAAAGATACATCCTGCCCCATTTATGCTTAGCCTCTTAAGAGCTACTACATAGCTTGTTTAAAGGCACCTATTTTTGACTCAGTATCACTGTCCCTGCTCCAGTCTCTAGGGTGTTGACTGGTTGAATGTTTTGGAACACCTGAGAAAATACAGGTGTGTCTATAAGAGAGCAAATTTCCATTAACTGGTAAACTCTTCTCTGTGTCAAAATTCAAGAAAATAACCAACTACTCTTAAATACAGATAGCTTGTTAAATTGCATGAGGAAATTTGAGCAAAAGGGTTGTGCTAAATGAGCTTAACATGAAAGAAAATTTATTAGCTAAAAACAAGCTTCAATTAGCATTAAATGTGTGTAGTATTAAAGAGCTGGAGGAACTGTCAGGAAGAATATGTTTTCTGTTAATTGGTTTGCTTTGCCTAACCACTTAGGCTCCAACAAAATATGTTTACATTCTATCATTATGTTTACACTTACTCTGTCTTCCAGTGTGTAAGTAGAGGTCATGATGAATTTGTAGAAAATATTTTTCTTTCCCATTTATTGTGGTAGGTTTCTGTTCTGCACAGAATATTAGAAATTATTGTCCCATTCGCCTGCCATCTGAATAAAAATGCCACCCAATGTTGGAAACCAGGGAGGCTGTACAGGGCAGATGTCCTTCAGCTTGTACCGTGCCATTTACAGCAGGGAGACTTCTGTGATAGGCATTTAATGGAGCCATCTGAAGATGGCCTCGTCTGTTGTTCGTTAGAAAAAACACATAGAATTGCCTGAAGTCTTCTTAGCAGTTCAGGCCATGTGGATATAGAAAAAGACTTGCTTTTCATGTGGCTTTCAGAATAATAAGAAGGTGGCTTTATGAGAAGTCCTTTATGACTAAATGCTCCATGAAAATTGACAGCATTAAAATTCAAAATCTTAGTCTCAAGGACTTTTAGAATCTAAAGTATTTTTCTTAAATAAAATATACCTACTCACCTTTTAAAAATGTTAATTACAACATCCAATCATGTAAACTTGGGACACATCTCTTGGATTTTCTTCTGGTAACGTTATTATTATCAGTCAGACATCCCCCAAAAGGAAGCTGGTATAGGTTAAATTTATCTAGTGAAAAGGTCTGTGCAGAACTTAAACCTTACATTAAAGATCTAAATTCTAAATCCAGAGCATAATAATTCCTAAAAAATAGTGGCTTGACTTGAAGGAACTATTCATGTGTTCAGATTATTCATGAGCATATGTACTTTGCAGTGCTGATCTTTCAGCGGGGCTTAATTTATTTCTGTACAATTGGCAAAAGCTTTTTCAGATTAATATGTCACCGTCTTAGAAAAAAGGATGAATTAATTTAAGATAAACCCCTTTCTGTAATATGAAGCTAAAG